TAAATGCGATTGAAATGCGAGCGGCAATTTATGGACGTCTGCGGCTTCGAGTGTCGCTGTTCATATTACCCGTATGGCAATTCCAGACAGGGCTGTATTTGAGTCCTAATTACAGTCTGGAAGTGACTGGCGATCTCAAAGTCGTCTATCGTGTCAGTTTTTCATAGCAGATAATAAACGATACATGTCAACTTATGTCTCAAGGTAACGGGCGTAGTACTAGTGGCTTTCAGATGTTTGCATGTCGCCTACCATCAGGCCTACGACTTGTTCGTCTCGTCACTTGCTGTCATAGAAAGAAATCGTGGGTAGATTATGGTTTACGGTTATGGTCGACTAATGAAACGTACGAACTATCTGTACTAGGGATGCTTCAAACGGCTTCAACCACGGAAGAAACAAAGAAACGATGGAAGCGCCTTAGGCCTCCAAAACACAAACCTTGACAACGATTGATCGTATTTTCTAACTTAAAAAAAGTTACAAATTCTGGACATTTGATATAATTTAAATTTTATACTATTCGCATAAAACTGTGTTTTTTACAAATAATTGTTTACAAATAATAAGAGTTGTGGAGTGAGACAGGGAGGTTTAACATCACCTTCCGTGTGCAGTTGCTGGTCTGCCATCGGACGCGTCCCCAGGTGGCGGATAGGGGAACGGCTCCCAGATATGGGAGCTACCGGCTTCGGCCGGCGCGGACCAAAACCAGCACCGGGAGGGGAGGAAGATAGCGTTGGTTCCGTCCGGCGCTATCGAACTCGTAACCGAGACGGTGGGCGGTGCTCGGTCTCAGAACCGGCTCCGGCCAACCCGTAAACCCACATGGAGTGTGACCGGGGGTCCTCCTCACTGAGAGGAGGGCTGCGAGGAAGAAAACCTCTATAAAAAATCACCCCAATCCCAAGTTCTAGCGCCCGGCGATGGGATGAATGGCTGGTGGGTGTCCAGTCATCAGGGCGCACCAGTGGGGAGCTCACCCTCTTTCAAAGCAAGTTAAATATGGAACAGGCACGTTTTAAAAATGGTCCCCAGGCGGGTCCCCGAAAGGGGGAATCCCGCCCATCCGCTTCGGCGGATGGCAGCCCCTCGTACTCTGGGGGGGGCAAAAACTGCCTCGTGGGTCGGCCGGAAGTCGACCCTCGTGAACACGACAAACGCACACCAATAACGGACAACGATTTTGCACACGACACGGTAAATACGGATCGCACGAGTGCCTCCAATGTGGTGGTGAGCATTCTCTCCGACAATGAGTCGGAGGGTGAGACGATGCTCTCAGCCCTTTCGGACGGAGAGGCCACCCTCTCTGAGGGGAACTCACGCGTGGTTTCGCGCTCCAGGTCAGCCGGAGAGAAGGGATCCTCAAGGGCTCCCAAGCGCGCCGCCCCCCCGTCGAACGAATCTATGGAGCCCGAAAGGGCTCCAAAGATTAGCACGGCCCGTAGGGGCAGACCTAGAGGCCCCGGGAAGTCCTTCCCCGGTACGGCAACGGCAGGGAGGGGGCGCTCTAGCTCGTCAGAGTGGAACGCCCTCCAGAAGGATGCGGACGCGGCCTTCTTCAAGGAGGCCCTGGGCCGGGGTCAGGCCGGAGAGGCTGAACCCGATGGCATGGCGGGCCTCATGCGAGAGACCCTGGCCCAGGAGGCACGAGACGGCCTCGCAGCAATATTGGCGGAGACCGCCAAGTCCTCTAACCTCAAGGGGACGGTGGTCAAAGCCATAAAAGAGGCCGTCAGGAAGGTGGAAGGAGCTGTCAATTTCCTTCACCGTGGAGAGACGGCGACAGAGGCGGCGCGGCGGATGTCGGAAGACAACCGCCGGATGAGGGGGCAGCTCGCTGCTCTGGAAACGGAGATGAAGGCCCTGAGGGGGGCCTACTCCGCTGCTATGGCCAAGGCCAAGGCACAGGTGGCCCCACCGCCGTGCAGCTCCGCGGAGATGCACGCGGGAGTGAGGGAGGCCATCGACGATCTCAGGCGGGACATCTTCTCCTCGATGAGGAATATGATCGACGCCCGCCTTGGGGACATCGAAAGACGCCTCCCTGCGGAGTACCTACGCCCCCCCCTGGGCGGCAGAACAGGGGCACCCGCCCCCGAGGCGACGCCTGCCGTCACCGCAGTCGCCCCGAGGTTGCTCCCCTCCGCCGCGGCCCCCGAGTCGACACCGGGCCCCTCACTGGCTCGAAACGCGCCTGCCGGCCAGCGGCCCAGCAAGAAGGCCAAGAGGAAGGCTCTCCCGCGGAAGGTGACTGCTGCCCCTCCTGCGGCGCCCACAGCCGTTCTCGCCGTCCCTACCGCCCCTGACGCTACGGCCTCCACGTCGACTGACCAGGCGGAAACGCCCTGGTCACAGGTAGTCGGCCGCAAGGCCAGAAAGGCCAAAACGGCAGCTGCCGCCCCCCAAGCGGCACGGGCCCCCGCCAAGGCGGCCCCTAAGACGGCTCCCAGACCCAGGGCTCTCGCCACCCCAAGATCATCGGCGGTGGTGATCACGCTGAGGCCCGAAGCGGTGGCGGAAAAGGGGGCCACTTACAAGGTGGTCCTTGAGGCGGCGACCGCTGCGGTCGATTTGGGCAGCCTCGGCATCCCGCACGTGCGCGTGCGGAATACCGGATCGAGCGTAGCCTTCTACAACAAAACTATATATTAATTTTTAAAACTGGCTACAAAAGGCGTTTTACATAATCACGTCTCAAACTATTAGTGTCGCAAGTATGAAAAAGTGTAGTGGGTGTGGGCGATTTGCTGCTGCTGATGACTTTGCTCGGTGCACGAAATGCCCGGATGTCTACTGCAAAAAGTGTCGTAAGACAGGAATAGTTCCAGAAGACTGGCTATGCCCAGCGTGTGTAGCGAAACAGCCAAGAAAAAGCTGTGAGACCCCTCTGAAGGGTGTCCAAGATGTTACCATTTCTGATCAAACCAACAACCAACCTCTCACTGCGGACGTAATACGGGCAATTATAAGATCAGAATTAGCCGAATTGCAAACCAGTTTCGAAAAGAGAATAGTTCACTTGATAGCTGAGAAGACTAAAGAGCTTACCAAAGAGATAGAATCGCTTAAAGAATCACAAGCATTTATCAACAAAGAATTCGAAGATACTAAGAAGGAATTCACTCAATCTCAAGTTCACCTAAAGAAGGCACTTAAAGAAAATGAAGCATTGAACAGCACGATCACTAATCTGAATGTTAAATTGTTAGCTCTTGAACAGCACTCCAGGAAATCTAACATCGAAATACAATGTATTCCTGAGCGTAAGTCGGAGAATCTTATTAAAATGGTTCTTCAAATCAGCAAGACTACAGGCAGTAACATTACAGAAGAACACATACATCACTGCACCAGAGTGTCAAAAATCAACGCTACAAATTCAAGACCGCGCTCGGTTGTAGTACAATTCGCAAGTCCTAGAGTGAGAGATACTTTTTTAGCAGCGGTATTGAAATTTAATAGGAAGAAGCAGAAAAGTGATAAACTGAGCACTAAACAGGCAGGTATCTCAGGTGATGCCTATCCAATCTATGTAGTCGAGCATCTCACCCTAGAGCAAAAAAACCTTCATGCCGCGACTAGACTCAAAGCGAAAAAACTCGGCTACAAATATATTCTCGTCAGAAATGGTCGCATTTTGGTACGAGCAACTGACAGTTCCGAATATGTAGTAATAAGGGACCTAAACGACCTTAACACTCTCAAGGAGTTGGAAATAGTTACTGATAAAAAAAGTAAAGGATAATATTTTTGCATGTATTTTCATTTTTGGAAGATATTTTAATTTAAGTAAATTATTGATGGCAAACTTAAAACTTAAATGTTATTATCAAAATGTACAAGGTATAAATACTAAGACAGGACATATTTATTTGAAAATACTTAATTCGGATTTTGATATAGTTGTTTTTACAGAAACTTGGGTTCAGGACAATGTATTGGATGGAGAATTTATTGATGATAGATATGTGGTATTTAGACAAGATCGTAACTTGAAATTGATTCACAATAAAGCAGGCGGCGGTGGCGTCCTAATTGCGGTACACAAAAGACATAGTTCTTATAGAATCCCAATGCCCGAAAGTAACTGTGAGGATTTATGGGTGAAAGTTATTTTGTGTGACAAGCATGAATGCCGTTCCGTAACTGTCTGTGGTGTCTATTTACCATCTCCTTTGAAATTTGACCTACTTCAGAGCTTCACCGAAAGAGCTAGCAATGTGCTGTTGGGCTGTTCAGAGGTCTTAATCCTTGGAGACTTTAATTTGGCTTCAGTGGATTGGAGCAACAACAATCCGACTGACTATACAATCCCGATTGCTTACAATGGAAAACTTCGCACATGTGTTATTGATTTTATGGCTGAGTGTGGTCTGTCCCAAGTAAATGGTATTCGCAATGATTTTGGTAAATTGCTTGATTTGGTTTTTACTAACGTTCATGTAGCCTGTAATGTAACAAAAAGCTATTATCCCTTGGCTCCTACAATTAAATACCATCCTCCCCTTGAAATTGTGATAGATATCAGACACGATAACTATTTATTACCGCTTATTACTCCAAAGCCAAACTATTTTGGGGCAGATTATGATCAGGTAAATGTGGCGCTTGAAAGTATTGGCTGGGATGAAATGTTTGCGGATTGCGATGGCGTTGATGAAATGGTAGTCAAATTTTATAATGAATTACATACAATTATTCATAACATAATTCCTACAACACGACCTAAATCAAAGTCATTTCCTTGCTGGTACAATCGAAAACTAATAAGAAAGCTGAATGAGAAAAATAAACTACGTACACGTTTTAGAAAATACGGCAATCCACTAGATCATGTTAAATTTGAAATGCTTCGCGATGAATGTGAATTTTTAATCCAAGCATGCCACACTAAATATATTTCATTAATTGAAAATAGCATTAGAAGTAACCCAAAGTTCTTCTGGAGCCATAACAAAAAAATTAGAGGTGACAGACCCGACTATCCTTCAACAATGGTTCTAAATGGGGTGGTATGTACGGATGGAAAGAATATTTGTGATAGTTTTGCAAGACATTTCTCCGGCATTTATGGCAATGGAGTAACTCGGGATATACCGAACACAGCAAATATTGTGCAAGCGCAGACGGTAATGAATGTTTTGACTGTTAGTGAAAACGACGTTAGTCTAAAGTTGAAAAATCTTGATACCAGTAAAGGTGCTGGACCGGATAACGTACACCCACATTTTATAAAAGAATGCGCGTCAGCTCTGGCTGGGCCATTGACTCGTATTTTCAATAAATCCCTTGAAATTGGCATTTTCCCTGCCATGTGGAAGGAATCCCGTGTTGTACCGGTTTTCAAGGACGGGGAAAGAAACGACATTACTAGATATAGACCTATTTGTATATTGTCAGCTTTTCCCAAAATTTTTGAAAGTCTAGTTTGTCCTATTATTAACTGGCATATGAAACCGTTACTCAATCCCTGTCAGCATGGTTTCCTTCCAGCGAGGTCAACCATGTCTAATTTAGCTCTATATATTGATGAATTAATTGAAAAAGTAGATCAAAATAGACAGATCGATGCAATTTATACTGATTTTTCCAAAGCCTTTGACATGGTTGACCACACCATATTAATTACTAAGTTGAAAGCATATGGTTTTCAGGGAAGCTTTCTTGATTGGTTGGGATCCTATCTGAATGGTAGAATTCTGAAGGTGGTAATGGGAGGCTATGAGTCGGTGGCTTTTACGGCTGGTACTGGTGTGCCCCAGGGCTCGCATCTCGGTCCTATTTTGTTTAATATATATATAAATGATATTTTCCAATGTTTCTACCATAGCAAGTTTCAGCTCTATGCAGATGATTTAAAACTATACAAACAAATAACTTCAATTGAAGATGCGGATAAAATTCAGGATGATTTATCTAGATTGACTGAATGGTGCAAAGTTAATAAACTCTTACTTAATCAGAACAAATGCTACCAAATCTCTTTTTCAAGAAAAACGCATCCGCTAGTATATAATTATCAAATCGACGGTACTTACTTGCAGAAAGTGACCGCGGTGCGAGACCTGGGGGTTACAGTGGATGGTAGACTGAGCTTCATTCCACATGTTGACAATATTATAAAACGCGCCTTTAGAATTTCAGCGCTTATAAGACGGACGACTAAAAGTTTTAAGAGCGCTGCTAGCAGGATGATTTTATTTAACTCTTTATCGCGTAGCACTCTAGAGTATTGTTCTGTTGTGTGGAACCCCCATTACCAAATACATTCTAATCGTTTGGAACGTGTGCAAAGTAAATTTCTTCGGCATGTTTGTTATTGTGATGGAGCTCTGGATACTTGTGACTCTTACGCTAAGCACTTGAAAAGATACAGGACGCTGTCTCTGTCGAATCGTAGAACTATGCTTGATCTTTGTTTTTTCCATAAAATTGTGAATAATTCAATAGACTCTCCAGAACTTCTGAGTAGGGTTGGGTTTACAATCCCAAGACCAAATGCAAGAACAAGAAATTATATACCTTTCAGATCTCGTGTTTCTAGGACTAATCTTGGTATATCTGGTCCTATAAATAGAATGGTTAAAACCTACAATCAATTTCATAGACAGTGTGATTTGGATATTTTTAAAGACTCACTGCTCTGCTTCAAAACTAAAATTAAAAAATTCATGTCTTCTTAAAACTAAAATAAAATATTAAAGGGATTAAAATTGAAAATTTCAATTAAAATAAGTAATTTTATTAATCTGTAACTTGCTATTTGCTTTGTAATCCTGTAATAAACTCTTTAAAATGTAAATCTTACTCTATAACATAAACCGCTTGTATTTTACTAGTATGCTGTGGTAGCCTGTAAGTGCGATATATATAATGATTTTATATTTTGATTGTAAATTATTAGCTATACTCTTTATATGTATTGTGTTGGCTATCCATTTCTGAATAAATAAATAAAATAAAAATAAAAAATACCCAGACGGGTGCCCGCATAGTCGAGGTGCCCGGGGCGACCAGCGCCGAGAAGGCCGACACCCTGGCGGCCAAGCTGGAGGAGGCGATCGGGGGGCTGGCGACAGTAACGCGGCCTACCAAAACCGCCGATCTAAGGGTCACCGGTTTTGACGAGTCAGTGACCCCGGAGAAGATCCGGGCGGTGGTGGCCGCGAAGGGCCGATGCCCCCAGTCCGCCGTGAGCGTGGGAGCCGTCAGACTGGCCCCCAACGGGAGGGGGTCAGCCCTCGTCCGCTGCCCGGTGACGGCGGCCCAACGGGTGGCGGCTGCCGGCCGCATATTGGTGGGGTGGTCCTCCGCCGGGGTCCATGTGATGGAGCCGCTCCCCATGCGCTGCTTCAGGTGCATGGGGATTGGTCACACCAGAGCCCTCTGCCCGTCCAGTGTAGACAGGAGCGGGCTCTGCTTTAGGTGTGGCCAGGTGGGACACTCGGCCTCCGGGTGCACGGCGACCCCGCGGTGCTCGGTCTGCACCGCGGCTCGCCGTCCAGCGGACCACGTGATGGGGGGGCGATCTTGCGCTCCCTCCCCCACCAAGGGCAAGTCGGCGGGGACCCCAGGCCCCCCCCTATTGAGGGACAAAGTATGGAGCAGTAATGCCAGCACGCCACCATATTATACTGCAGGGCAACCCCAACCACTGCGCCAGGGCACAGGACCTATTGGTCCAGGCCATGGCGGAGTGGGGGGTTGCGGTGGCTGCTGTGGCGGAGCCATACTTTGTCCCCCCGCAGAGGAATTGGGCGGGGGATCGGGAGGAGACGGTGGCCATAGTGGCGTCGACTGCCGGACACTCCCCCCCTCTAGTGGTGAAGGAACGCGGGTCAGGGTTCGTGGCGGCGAGGTGGGGAGAAGTTATCCTAATTGGGGTGTACTTCTCTCCAAACCGCACCCTAGCCCAATTCCAGGCGTTCCTGGAGACCCTAGAGAGGGCGGTGAGGAGGGCAGCTCCGACGCCGGTGTTGGTGTTGGGGGACTTCAACGCCAAGAGCGCGGCGTGGGGTTCTCCGGTCACCAATACCAGGGGGCCAGAGTTGGAAAATTGGGCGGCAGTCCTAGGGCTAGCCATCCTCAACCGGGGCCATGCCAACACGTGCGTTCGGCGAAATGGGGGGTCAATCGTGGACGTCACGTTTGCGACCCCCTCATTAGCCGCGCGAGTATCCGGCTGGCAGGTCCTGGAGGACGAGGAGACCCTCTCCGATCATAAATATATACGGATGAGGGTCTCCCATACGCCGCCCACGGCGGCCTCCAACACGGCCCCCGGGGGGGGCTTTCCCAAATGGGCACTCACCCGCCTGGACCTTGAGCTCGCAGAGGAAGCAGCCATGGTCCAGGCGTGGTGCCCCCCCCCC